CAATTCACTGAGCAGGTGCATGATACTTGCTAAATGAATGTGTTTGAATGGATTTTCTCAAATGTCGTCACTGGATTGTGGCAAGGCAAGCACAGGGCCATGCTTAGCTCCTCAAAGGTCACACTTCAACCTGCACTCACTTGGCATTTGTGCAGGCAGAGATGGCACCAAAACCAGCCGAAGTTAGGATTCAGAAACATAAGTGAAAACTCTGTAGTGAGGAACATTTCACAGGACTGTTACTGTAAAACACAGGCTTACCAGGAAAAAACACTATTTAGCCTGTGAAAGATATTTTCAGACATCTTTATAGAGTCCTATTTTTTTCAACTATGCAAATTGATTTAGTGAAAAGTAAAAAAAAATACATGTGCAGATTTTCAATAATCTGGTTAATTGTGGTCATCAACAGTCACAATAATTACTGGAAATTTTTAGAATATCATATATTTCAAGATGAGACCTACTCAGATTTAGGTGATTGGGAAGTTATTTTATCAGTATCTGAGATTTAGAGCACTAACTTCAGTGGTTCTTAAAAATTTGTTATAGCTTAAAACAACACATGTTGGGGTATGTTATTCTCCAATATGTACTAATTCTATATTAAATCATTTTTGTATTGTATTGAATAACTTTACATATAGTATTTTAAACAATCTTATGGACAATATTGGAGGATACACAGATTTAATTTTTCAAAATCTTCAGACATTTGTCAAGAATCTTCTCATTCATTTTAAAGTGACAACTTTTCTGTCATTCTGATAGTTCCATTCATAAATACTCAAAAGAAAAAAAAATTGACAAAAGTGCATATGTATGGTACTTTGTGTTTTACAGTGTTCTATATACCTTAAGTTATAGATAGATTGATAGATGATAGATAGATAGATAGATAGATAGATAGAATGATAGATAGATAGATAGATAGAATAGAGTAGGTAATTTTTAAGAAAACATTTAGGGTCCCTTCCCTTTTGTATTTTGACATCATTGAGAAAAAGCATTCATTTTTCACTAGGTGAAATGTGTGTTCTTATTTTGCAAAGATGGGGAGCTTTTGGTTTTAAGGGGTCTTCAGTTCAAAATACAACAGTGAATATTCTTTTTCTAAAAGGTTGATCAGGATGTAAAACAATTTGCCAAAAGAATGCCTTAAGGTAATGAGTCCCTCTAACAAATTAAGTTTTTATTTTACAAAATTTGGCATGATATTGAGGTTACAGAAATTCAATGAGTACATTCAGCAAAATAATCAGTATAATTATAAACTGTTCATGATTACTCATTTTAAAACAAGCGATATCTGTTTGTAATAACTTTATTTGGGTTGGCAGCATAATTTTAATTTTTAATTTTATATAATTATGAGCTAAGGATGGAAAGCATAAAGCATGACTAATGTTTTTATTTTTAAGCATCTCTGTAATGTGACTTTTAGATATATGCCTCAGCATCAATTCTAAGAAAGCTTAAAAATTTTTACAAGTAATATTTCATTCTAAATTCTGTAAGAAAGCCAGTTATATCTGTCAAATATAATTCTGAGGACTTAAAAAATGAATACAAATCAGTATAAACCACATGGAAAAAAATCAAACACATAATAGCTATTTGAGTTTCAAATAGAATAAGATGATAAATGCATGCAATGTAATAAAAATGGGCTCATATTTATAAACTGAAAAATCTTTTAAACAAATGAAGCCTCTCAAAATTTTCTTTGAAAAGAATGGAATAAAATATAGTTTTTATAAATTACTTTTTTTCTATCATGACACCTTGTCACCATATTTTCAAAAAAACTGATTTCAATACATCTTTTTTTTTTTTTTAATTTGGTATCAGGCATTGAACCCAGAGGCACTTAACCACTGAGCCACATCCCCAGCCCTTTTATTTTTGAGTTAAGGTCTCACTAAGTTGCTTAAGGTCTTTCTAAGTTGCTGAGGATGTCTTTGAACTTGTGATTGTCCTGCCTCAGACTCCTGAATCACTGGGATTATGGGCATGCACCACCATGCCTGGTTAGATTTTAATAATTTTTAAGAAAAAAATTTTAGTAAAATATTTTACTCATTATGGCCAATAATTGCCAACATAACTACTGAAAAATTTAAGAATGTTTTGCATTTGTGGTTGAGAACAACATGGTTTGAGGTTACATGGCAGACATATTATTCAATGTCTCATAATTACAGAATAAATTTCCAAGTTGCTTAAAACTGTTGTGTATTAAAATTCTACAAGTTTGGCTATTTTATTACCTGATAGGTAGCATTAGTATTATATTAATCTGCTTTTGTACTATGAATCTATAGACAGTATTTAAAACAATCTTACAGAGAACACTTACTCTATTTTAAAAATTATAGATGCCATATATAATATTTTCATATGCCTAAAACAGTTAAAAAAAGAAATCCACATATATACAATTAAACAACTGAGTAACTATTAATCAATAGTATATTAACAATGCTAGATATTTTCATGGCTGAAACAAGAATCACCAGTTTTACTAATATCTACTAGTACAACTAAAAAATGTTTCCCTTTATATCAACCAATTTTATTGAGGAATAATCACTGCTTATATTAATATTAGGTAATAATTATACCTTTGACTTATGCATTACCTCATAAGGTTTACAGAGTGCTTCCCATGCATGATAAATAAAATTTTCAGCCAGTTATATCTTGGTATACATAACAAGTTAAACCCTTAAAAACACATAAGTTTTAGCATACTCATTCTGAAACACATTGTAGATTCAAAAAGATATTTGAAATACCAAATGTCTCTATTGCATCTTACAATAGTCCTATGTCCTAAAATTTGATATCACATAAATTTTCAAGAAGTTAACATTTGTATTTTGCATGTTACTCTACAATCAGTTTCAAAACTAAGAAAATGTACATGGTACTCTATGGAGAATAGTCCAGTGGACTTAGAACATTCCATGTTATTACAGGGAAACTTTATAACTTAGAAATCAACATTATTCTTCCACCAATAACCTGTGCTGAAATGTGTGGGATTACAAAGAGAAAGTCCAAACTTAAATATTAAACTTGCTCAGTACACAGACTAAAATGTCTAAATGAAAAAAAAAAGAATTAACAAAGGACAAGTATGAATTGCTTATCATTAGGTATTCTCCAAAACCCAATCCTCTAGTTGGGAAACTAGAAACTTCATAACAGAGCAGCTGAGATGTAGGGGATACCAGCACTGAGAAGAAACCTGTGTCTCCTTCAAGAATCCCTTGGTCTCATCCCCTTCACTGTTACTGACCAAAACAGAGGACCAGTCACAGAGGGGCCCATACCTCTGTGAACAAACCTACAGGAGTAATGACCACACTACACCCACTAATCTTATTCCTACTTGTCCTTCAGGATTAACCAGGGGCATCAGCATATCTAAGACATATTCTCTGATCACTGTCCCTCACTTCTGTATTAAATGTTACCTTTATATGCAAGTGGGTGCTTAGCCCAATTGTTGCAGGTAGAAAACACCACCAGAGTGATGTATTTACATTTTATTTGAGTGCTTTGAGTGCAAAGTTCCTGAAAACAGACAATTATTATTTTATTTTTATATCCCCAAGACCAAGCCCAGCCTAGCCCATAAGTGCTCAGTAAATGTTTATTGAATGTTGAATGGAAGTTGAATGCAGATACTGTGATTACATCTGGCACACCTACCACACTAATGATTTAAAAGTGAGGAGAAAAACTTAATTGCTTTTAAAAAAATGCAAAAAAGAAAAATAAAAATTATTAATTGCATGTAGTAAAAATGCCACTATACAGTCTCCCTAATGGTGGAACAAATGCAGTTATTATACCAGGAACCATTTTGAACCTGCCATTATTGACTATGTAATACCTCTGAAGTCTAAATATGGAGACATGCATCATTTATTATAATGAAAGTACTTTACTACCATTGAAACTTTAAATCAAGAAATGTGATTTAGAAAAAAATATTTTTAGAACATCTCTTTTTCCCCCTGGGACTCCATATTTTATATGTAAAACTTATGTGAAGCTTTCAAAGTATTACCTTATTTTTTCTCTTTCCAGTTAAATATAGTAGTATCTTGTCACAAAAAATTCAGAAATTGTTTTAAATATTTATATGGACAAACTGATATCACTAAATTAAAAACACATTGTGTTACAGATGGCTAGCTCTCTAAAATTTCATTTTCTTCTTTTGAAAAAATGATTTTCCAAAGTGAGGCTCAATTTAAAAAATACCTATGTGTGGAGGAGTTAGGGGTATATTTCAGTGGTACAGCATTTGCCTAGCATGCACAAGGCCCTAGGTTCAATCCTTTGTGCCACAATAAATAAATAAATAAGAGAAATTTATACTGGAGCAAAACATATATATGCTTCACTAAGACATATAAAAAGATATTCTATATATACAAGATTAATAGTTTTCATGAAAGTAATGACCCCGAAGAGACTTAAAAATCTTTGCAAATGTTCCTGTCATTTATATAACACATAAAACACTAATTTACTAATTGCCTCTTCCAACTTTATTCTATTTTTTCTAAAGCATCCTTAAAATAACAGAGGGACATCTTGAGATGAGGGCTGAAATGTGAACTTTGGATATATATTAAAGATAATAGGTGTGATCAAGGAAATTATAATCAGAGAATAAAGCAGACAGACTTGAATTTTTATCACAGTTGCACACACAATAAAGCTTGATTAAGTACCAGAAGGTAAAGTGCTGCATACACAAAGCACAAAATATAGTCTAATAAATATTTCACATGCTTAGCTGATTTCAATTTGGTTCTTACATTTAACTTCATGAAAGTCTAATCTAAAGAATATGTTTAAATGTTCTCTTTTGCCTAAGACAAAATGATTCAAAACTTTTAAAAAACCTCTTAACCACTGAATACTTTACAATACAAGAGGAAAAAAGAAAGAGATAAATTATTAATTTTTAAAGTTACCCAGCAACTCCATTGCATCATCTTCGTTGTCAATGTCTTCTTCTGTTACAGATGGAGTAGGGCTGTGGATGGACTCAAAGGAATCCTGAGAAAGCATGGCTGCCAGGAGTTTCTTATGCTGCTGCTGCTGCTGTTTTAATCCTTTAGTCTTGGGCTCCATCTTCAAGCTGAAGAAATATTTACCATTAATTAGTTATGGTGAGTAAAGAGAATTTACAAATTTTTTTCATTCACGTATTCTGTTATGCAAATTGATGGACAGATCAACTAATATTTTCCCCAAGGATAACAGAGACATAGAATCTCTCTGAGACAACCTGTGGTAGTCACTAACAAATTCCCAAGTGAGTGTGGGAAACCTGAAAGTTCCAACTCTCACTTAAAAGAGGAGACATTATGTTCTGCACCTGCCAACTGTTGCCATGTGGGAATTAATAGATTTTCTGATATTTTAAAAGAAATAGAAAATCCAGGTAATTATTTGCTGATTTATAAAACACATGATTGTCGAGCCATGGGATAAGTATTTTAACCTACTACACTAAGATTCAAAAATTAAAAATAAACAGCTTTAATGTCTTTTAAATGTGTGTATACAGTTGTCCCAGCACCATTTATTTGAAAACACTACCCTCTCCTCCAATCATCTTGCAATATTTATAGTGCTTTCAAGTCCACCTCTTTGCCTAATTTCTTAGTTGACTGTTCTTTCTATTAATATACATGTGTGTCCTCAAAGTCAAGAGACTGTTGTACAAGTATTGACATTTACCACTTTGAGTGAAGTGTGGACATCTTACTTCTGCTTCAATTCCTTTACCTTCCTTACTTTTAAATATTATTGTTTTGAGTGTCCAGTAGTATTATAATTTCTGTTTCAAAAACCACTATATATATCCCTTGTATATACTCATATTTCTCCTATTTATTCTTCCTTCCTGATGTTTCAAGATTCTCTTGTTCATAATTTCCTGTTTGAAAAACTTCCTTCCTTCTTTCATGTCCTGAGTTTCCTTTCTCCACCATCCACTTCCACCATGATGATCTGCTTCACTTAGGGCCAAGAACTTTAGAGTCAACTGACCATGAACTGAACCTCTGAAACCATGAGACACATTAGGTTTTCCCTCCTCTAAGTTGTTCTTGTCAGGTCTTTTGGTCATAAGGATGCCAAAGCTCTTTAACATTTGTGATACTTGTGATTGGTCTCAGGGCCTCGTGAATGCTAGGAAAGTGCCCTACCAATGAGCTCTAACTCTGATTTCTTAACCAAAAAGGGAAAATGATACCTTAACACTGAACAAATCTGGTGGACATCACTTTAACCAACCAATCAAACTGAGTGTCACCAATTATGGAGCAAGGTGACATTATATACCTCCTAATATGATACCAAGAGGAAATACATAATATAACCTATAAAGAATTGTTTCCAAAAATGTTTAATAAAGAAATAATTCAAGAAATAAAGATATGGGAACATTTTTTCAAAATAACTAACATGTAGGAAGTCTTCAAAATCCCAATATCACAAAGGAAAACAAAGCCAGAGGACTGTTCTAGATTTCAGAAGTCTAAAGAGACTTGACAATTAAATTCTACACACAATCTTTATTGGACACTAGCTAAAAATGTAATAAATAAATATGCAAACAAAAGCCCATAAAAGATCTTATTGGGAAAATTTGAATATGATATAAAATTATTATTAATATAAAAAACTTTGTGGCATTATGTTAAATGTTTTGATATAATCATTATATTATAGCTATCCAAGAATATATCCTCATTCTTAGGAAATGCATTCCAAAGACTTAGGAAATTGATAAGTGATAATATCTACAACTTATTTTTAAATAGCTCAGCAAACAAAGATTGCAAAATACTAATGAATATGAGTGGAATGTGTATGAATATTAATAATCACTACTCTTAAATTTTCTGTGATTAGAAATTTGTCAATGTATCAAATTGAGGAGAAAAATATATGAAAGCACACACATGACTATTTATTTCATATCTGTCTTCTGTTTCAATTAGGTTCCCCCAACATATAAAGGATTATTGCTGAGATATAAAAATGTACCCCTTTTAAAATAATTTTTAAAATATCTTAATTACTACCCATGTAACTTTAAATAATTAAAGTAACTTTAAATAATTAAAGAAAATTAGTTTTACTCAATAGTAGTTTGGTACATTTGCCAACTTATGGAAAAAGTTTCTTTAGTCCCAGTTTATTGTCATGGCATTTGTATCTGTATCATTTCTATATGTCTTTTAACTGAGAAATAATGTCATGATTTGAAAGTCTACCGTGACTAGTTTTATTCACTGAGAAGTAATACAAAAAAATCACACAATTTTAGTTTTGATTTCACAGTTGATAGATCTAACATGCAAATTGTAATTTACATCTGAAATTATTTTAAATCAAATTATTTTAAAATAACAGTATTTGTGGGTCACTGTGGCCCCATTGCTTTGGATTAGGACAATGGATATACATATTATTTTGACAAATGAACCAAATCTATTTTCAACATGATTAACATTTGTCAATTTATTTACCCTTTCTTTTCTTGCTTTCTTTATCTGTAATGTAGATTATAGTATTTCCTATTTTATAGACAATTTGACAATTTAAAAGGGCTAACATTTGTAGCACTATGGAAAGTAGCTAGATTAATATGCCTGCTGAATAGAGCAACTGAAGTTCTCATTTATGATTTTGTATTTTATACTGTAAACTTAAATGACAACAAAATATTTTATTTACTAATATCTTTTTTTAAGTAGGCTATTTTATTTATTTATTTTTATTGGTTGTTCACAATATTACAAAGCTCTTGACATATCATCTTTCATACATTTGATTCAAGTGGGTTATGAACTCCCATTTTTACCCCAAATATAGATTGCAGAATCACATCAGTTACACATCCACGTTTTTACATAATGCCATATTAGTGACTGTTGTATTCTGCTACCTTTCCTATCCCCCCTCCCCTCCCCTCCCATCTTCTCTCTCTACCCCATCTGCTGTAATTCAATTCTCTCCCTTGAATAATATCTTATGCTTAACAAAATTACTTTGTTTGTATGCAAAAATACAATTATAGTTCTATAGAGATATTCCCCTTTAGGAATAAATAATAATTCTCCAAGTATTACTGTTTGAAGCAGGTGTTTTATGAAGATTCTGACAAGTTTATTTATTATTATCTACCTGAATTATATACAATAACTAGAAATTACATGTTTCATGCAAAATTAAGATATATAGTATCTTAAAGATGTTATTTGATATAAATAGTCATAAGGCCAATGTTTATTTTCATTCCCATAAAATAACATTGTTTTATAAAGCCAATATATGATCAAAACATGCCTAGTTACAAATAAATTTATCTTCCTGAATGTAATCTTAGATTTCTACTCCAGGTCCATAACTGTTTTTCTAGATTTGGGGCTGGATGTGCTCTGCTGCATAAACTGTATATTATGTAACACCTCCAAGGAGGGTCTGAGGCTTGACTTTGCTATCAATTACAGCAGTTTTCTATGTCCTTATGTATCAGCATCGCCACTGAGTAGGTTAAATAAAGAATCTACAGTGTTCAGAACGGGTTTTGCTGTCATGAGTTACGAAAACCATTTCAGTTTCCTGAGCAGCTTGAATTTCATAATTACAGATAAGGACTGTGAGGAACACATCCAAACACACAATTGATTGGTTCCCAAATGCTGCTGTTAGGGGAGGAAGATGGGGGCTGAGACTTGATGCTGGAATTTCAGAAGGCAGAAGTCATGTCATTGGAATGGCAATGGGAGACACTAAAAGCTGTCTGGTTGACACTGATAAAGGTGGTTTCAACATGTGGTGGAAATAAGATTCTATTGGGAAAAGATTACAAGTGGAGGGGACAGTGAACCCAGTGAGGAGCCTGGCTGTAAGAACAATGAAAAGCAGAGAGCATTGACAGCTGGGGCCAGGGAGGAGGCTTCCTTTTGTAGAGAGGCATCCCATGAGAGTTTTATGCTGATGGGAATGACCTAGTAGAAGGAATAGAGGGGGGACACAGGGAATAAGCAGCTTGCACAGTGGCTGAGACTGAGCATCTAGAACCAAGTGAGGGGCTTGCTTTGGGTGGGAGTGTGGGCTGCACCCACTTGGGTACAGGTGAGCCAGGCCCACCCGTGGTGCTGGGAGGGCTTATGGAGGAAGAGTCTCTGAACCTCCTTCCTCCATGAAACAGGAAGCAGGGTCATCAGTAGAGAAGAAGATGAGGAGAAGAGTTGGGGATTTAAGGAGAGAAGTGAAGACGTGAAATCATTCCCGAGGAAAGTGGATATGTGGATTGTTCAGCCACTGGCAGCAACTTCACCGGGCAGTTCCAGGGTGCACCTGCAGTTGGGATGTCATGAGTTCTGTGGCTCTAGAGAGTGGAGCCACAGGCTCTGCAGCCTTTGCTGGTTTCACCACAGAATGAAGAATTGGATTGTTAAAAGGAAACTAAGACAAAGGAAAAGAGGGACGAGGCAGTATCTACAAGAGAATGACTACAACAGTGGGCCATGGACAAAAGCTGAAAAAGGAGAAATACAAGGAACGAGGTGGTGGGTCAGGAGCGATGGAAATTTAGCACAATCGAAAATTAGCAGGATGGAAACTTGGCACACCCAAAAGTTGGGTGCCAGAAGGAATGAACAAGGACAAAGGCTGACAGAAGGTGAGATACCTAAAACTGACATTACTAACGGCAGATAATGGTAATGAGAGGTTCAGGATATGACAGAAAGAATGAGTGGGTCAGGCAAGGTGGAGTTCAAGATCAATAATGAGAGCGGGTGAAGGAAAGGAGGGGCCAGATTTGGGGAAGAATCATTGGTGTTTATATTGATTTCACCATGAAGGTAACGATTTAGGGAAAGTGCCTATGTGGGAAAGGGGAATGACCAGGGGATAGTCAAGCATGGCTTCAAGAACATGTGGATGGGGGCTGGGGATGGGGCTCAAGCGGTAGCACGCTCGTCTGGCGTGCGTGGGGCCCGGGTTTGATCCTCAGCTCCACATACCAACAAAGATGTTGTGTCCGCCAAAAACTAAAAAATAAATATTAAAAAACTTCTCTCTCTCTCTCTCTCTCTCTCTCTCTCTCTCTCT